TGCCGGGGCCACTCCCGGCCACCGCAGCCTCGACCCGCTGGGCTCCGGCGGTCCTTCCGCCTCCGCCCTCCGAGTAGCCGGAACTACAGGTGTGCACACCACCACACCTGGCTGATTTTTTGCTTTATTGTAGCGATGCGGTCTCGCCAAGTTGCCCAGGCGGGTCTCGAACCCGCGGGCTCAGGCAGTCCGCTCACCTCAGCCTCCCAGGGCGCGGGATGACAGGCTGAGCCCCCGAGCTTTGTTGTGTTTTGGGGTCGGAGTCTCCCTCTGTCGTAGGCCGGAGAGCAGTGGCACGCCCATGGCCGCCGCGGCCTCGGCCTGCGGGGCTCCGGCGGTCCTTCCGCCTCAGCCTTCCGAGCAGCTGGAACTACAGGCGCGTGCCGCCCCGTCTGACCACTTTTTTTCATCTTCTTGTTGTTGTTGTTGTAGAGACGAGGTCTCGCCGAGCTGCCCGGGCCGATCTCGAACCCGTGAGCCCAGGCAATCCTCTCACCTCGGCGCCCGGCCGGTTTTTTGTTTTTGTTTTGGCTTGAATTGGAGTCTCACTCTGCTGCTCAGGCTGGAGCGCGGTGGGACGCTCACAGCCACTGCAGCCTCCACCTGCTGGGCTCAGGCCGTCCTTCCACCTCAGCCTTCCAAGAACCACAGACGTGAGCCTCGACGCCCGGCAAATTTTCGATTTATTGTCGAGATGGGATCTCGCCAAGTTGCCCGGGCTAGTCTTGAACCCCTGGGCTCAGGCAGTCCTCTCCCCTTTGCCTCCCGAAGTGCTGGGATTGCAGGCGTGAGCCCCCACGCCCGGCTTATGGTTCTATTGTACGGGGAAAGGGCTGGAAGTGGGGCAGAGGGAGGGGCGGGTCTTATTTCTTTGGTGCGGTGGACCATGGAGAGGTCCTGCGCGGCGGGCAGGGTGCAGCCTACTTGCTTGGGAGGGGGGAGCAGGGTGCCTGGAGAGGGCCTGGCCTTCTGGGGCGCTGCGGGGGGGGCTGGGCGGAGTCGGTCCTGAAACCGCATCTCCTCTCAGAGCACAAGGCACCCGTGCAGGTGACTCAGGTCGAGGAAGATGTGGTGATGGTGTTGATGGATGGTGAGACCCCTCCTCCCTTCCCTCCCTC